CTCTTACTCCCGAGAGCAGGAGTCGGGTGAGTTTGATATCAATCTTGTTACCTGTTACTGTCCGAAAGCAGGAGTCAGGTCAGTCCCTCTCAGTGCGGAGATAGGCGTGCTGTACTTTGTCCCTGCTGTTTGAGCTGTTTGAGACCTCTGTTCACAGGCAGGGTCCCCAGAACCTCTGAGCGCAGACAGACTTGGTTTGGTGTTTCTCACCTGCCTTATAAGGAGCTGTTGTGAGAGAAACATTCTGTGTATCTGTGAAGATAAGGAGATCTTTAAAATCTTGTGGGTTTTCTATTTCTGTTTGAGGTTTTCACACTTCACAGTCTTCTCCTCTACCCTGAAGGTTACAGTGTAGCTACTTAGCAGAGGTGTGAACTTGTTAGGAGACTCTCACCCGGTCTGCTGCTGCATTTGAACATCGACCCAGGACATGCTGAGAGCTGCTCTCTCTCGGGACAGTAAGGGACATGAAGAATGAAGCAATTCAGCGAGTCTTTAAAGAAAACCCTCAAACACTAGGAGAACACGCAGACTCCACTCAGACAGATCCCTGAGCCCAGACTTAAACCCAGGACCCTAGAACTGTGTGGCAGCTGCATTAACTCGCCATACCAAGGCTCAGCCTTTAGTAACATAGATTCTTTATCAAAATCTGAAACTTAGTAGAATCAACACGTAAGAATCAACAAACATACACTCGGCGATGTGAATGAAAATGAGACTTATTCTCACTGGCTTGAGAATAGCTGACACTGTTGGGCAGGAAGCCCTGAGAGCACAGGGACACAGGCTCTCTTGAAATGGGTGCAGTATCAGCCAGAACTGGCCCAGAAGGGGGGGGGGCGTGGTCACAGACAAGTCAGCAGATTAAGTGCAGCTTTGCAGTCGCACCCAGGCAGGTTTAAACAGCCGAGTCTTCCAATCAGGGCTGATCACACAGGCATCTGACAGGAGTCAGCAAACTCCTGAAAGACACTGGTGTTGTCAGTCCAACCAAGTGATTCAGGATCAGCAATGAGGCAGCTGGAAATGAAGAGAAAGTGCAGTAATGACTGATAATAGGAGGCAGCTATATACTTTTTAATTGCTCAAATTTGAAAATATTTTGAATATTTAAACATTTCGCTTCGTACTTTTTTTAAATGGGTTTCTTTAGTCATTTTTTATATACATTGGTTAAATAAGAAGCTATTTCTTGAAGAATCCCTGATCCTCCATACATGACAGGAGGTACAAGTTGTCCAGCCATGATATTGAAGCCGATACCCTGGCTTCTTTCAAGAAACTCCTGGATGAGATCCTGGGATCAGTTAAGTACTAATGATCCACCGGGCCAGACGGGCAGAACAGCCTCCTGTCGTTTGTGACCTTTCACCCCCCTGACTGTGTATTGTGGTTGTGAAAGGATAAGGGTTCTCTCAGGGGTGCCTACAGAGCTGTCATATCGGAAATGACATTAAAAGCATTTTGAAGCAAGGGATTCAAAGAAGGACAGTATGGATGTTCTTCCTGGGTTTCCTCAAGTGCTCCAGTTTCTCCTCTAGAGATAGGACATACTGGGAGGTTAATAGGCTTCTGGGAAAACTGGCCCTGGTGTGAGTGTGCGTGTCTGCCCTGTGATGGACTGACGTTCTGCCCAGGGTGTACCCTGTCTTGTGCCTGTTGCTTGCTGGGATAGGCTCTGGTCCCCCGAGACCCTGAATAGGATAAAGTGGGTAGGAAATGGCTGGAATTCAAGGAGTTCAGGGGGCAGTCCCCATCACACATTGACAGCTTCGGGTGGGGATCGGATTCTGTGACCTGGCAGTACAAGGGAAAGACATTCATTACACCAAGACAGCAGTAGGTTTTAATAAGTGTTTTTTATTCATGCTTTTCTTGCTGAGCACAATAGCGAAGCGCGGGGGCAGTGAGATGCAAGAACAGAGGAAAATCCCAAAGTTGTGCAGAGATTTCCCTGTAAAGCTATTTAACTATTCCAAGCAAGACTCTCCGTCCATCTGCACTGTTGACACTTACAGTATATGCAGTGATGAAAGAAAACCCATCAGAAAATAGACAAGATGTTACTGGGTGTCATCTACCGACTCAATGCTGTGTGTGTTGATCTCTTTGTTTTATCAATCGCTAGCACACCTTCACACGGTGTTCTATCAGAGCAGCGCACGACCAGACTGAGGGAACACAGGCTCTGAAACACAAGCTGTGATGGACACTGGACACAGCTGTGTCCATCAGATCAGAGTCCACACCTCTCTGTGGCTGTCAGAGAGGAGTGGACTCTGATCTGATGGACGCTGATGTCTTAAAAGAGTGGACTCTGATCTGATGGACGCTGATGTCGTAATGAAGTGGACTCTGATCTGCTGGATGCTGATGTAATGGAGTGGACTCTGATCTGCTGGACACTGATGTCTTAAAAGAGTGGACTCTGATCTGATGGAAGCTGATGTTGTAATGGAGTGGACTCTGATCTGCTGGACGCTGATGTCATAATGGAGTGGACTCTGATCTGCTGGACGCTGATGTCATAATGGAGTGGACTCTGATCTGCTGGACGCTGATGTCGTAATGGAGTGGAGTCTGATCTGATGGACGCTGATGTCGTAATGGAGTGGA